ATCCTTTCACTATGCAGGTCATCGTGAAAATATTTTTAACATTAACTTCTACCGATGACAACGTGCACTACGCCATGGACGCCATGATAAATTACGACCGATAACCACCGATTGCACCCGAATCAGAACCGACCAATCAACGCGTACCCGAATATGACGTAGGCAAGGACATGCGCAAGCTGAACGAGTTTTAGACAATTGATGAGCATACCCTTGTATTTTTATTATGATTTTGACATCATTTTGACGTCAAATGACGTCTTTTTAACGTCAGCTTGTTACCAGGGAAGTTGCACAATATTTGCAAACAATACAAAGTTTACATTTTAACTGAAAATTTATTTCTAAATAAAAATCTTCAGATTTTATTTTTAAAGTATTGAAATAAAATTTGTTAATAATTTAATTATTAATAGATTTTTAAACTGCATAATATGCCTCCGCATTTAAATGTACCATTAATTAAATATTCCCTTTAAATTAAAAGTAAAATTTACAGGTTATGTAATTACTTTATCAATAAAAACGTCCATGTCCGTACTATGCGTAACAACAAAATACTTACTGTTTATAATTTCACTATAGTTGGCAGATAATTCGATTTCACGTTCGCGTATGTTTGTACTACTACCCATGAAACAGTGCTCACACCAATTCACAGATTCATCAACACATCGAAAAGGCCTACAAATGGCGCGACCAATCACGAGGGCGTCGCCCCTTATGTCCATACTCTCCTTATAGGTACTCTACTTAGTGCCGAGACGCTACCAGTGTCTCCAGATTAAGAGCCCACTTTACCAGCTAGCGACTTATTTGAAACAAATTATAGATGAAAGTTTAATTAAAAGTTTTAGTTACATCAAAAATAGTTGGGACTTCGTTAATAGACTGAACGGGATGACATTGGAATTCAAAGTAAAATGGTCTCTTTTGATATTACGTCTATGTATACAAATATTCCGGAAGAATTAGTGATAAAAAGCATAAAAAAGAGATGGAAGGATATTTCAAGGAATACTAGTATTCCGACGAATGAATTCTTAAGTGTCATCTCATTAATACTTAATTCTACATAATAAGATGTTTTTATTCGGACCGACAACAATTAAACACTAAGTATAAGCGTATTCAGGCCTGTGACGGTCAAAGCTAGATCTTTTTTGCCTAAATAATTCCCAGTGAATTATCTATATCCTATATACACTACTCAACAAAATCTAGGGAACACTTTCAAACACGCTAAAAATTGGGCCATATTCAGAACACCATAATTCAATGAAAAATCATCGCAGACATAAAATTAAAAAAGGATTTTAAAGGTTGAAATCTCTACTTTCGAAATCTATAATTGAAATTTCAATATAACTAATACTTTACGGA